CAGCCTGGACTTAACGCCACTGAACTTCGAGAGAAGCGTTATGTCTTTTTCCCTTAAATTATTTTTATAATGGTAGCTTTTTCTACATCTTACACTTATTGATGCAGCTAAGGTACATTTGTTAAAAAAAAAGAAAAGAAAAAAACAAAAAACTTTTCAGACAAACCTTTGTATTGTAGATAAGAGGAAAAGACTGAGCATGCTCACTTTTTTATACTAATTTTTATAGTATTTGTAAGAATAAAGAAGCATTTTAAACCACCCCTGATTCCTGTATTTACAGTGTTTCCTGCCCACTGGGGGCCCCAGGATCCCGCTGGGAAAGGGCACATTCCAGTATCAGGTGTGCAGCTTGGCACCTGGGAGGCGGTGCGGGGACCCAGGTATGACCCAACCCCATTCCCCGCCTCGGCGAGACGGGAAACCAAGCATCTTAGACGAGAGTCTGCTTTGCTTTTGAAACATGCCAGTCTTTATCTCCAAATGTTTTACGTAACTTACCTAAGATCAGCAAACCACGATTAAGCTCACGTTAACCTTGCGGCTTTCTGGTGGAAGGTGCTCCCCCAAAAGTACTCAGACTTGGGGAGGGAACTGGCCCAGCAGCTGATCTGGGGGCCCAAGGCAGAACAGCTGAAGAGCTCCCTAACTTTAGTTGGTTTCTCAGGAGTAAGGGAGTAGAGGAGGGCTCGGATTATCCTAAAAGCATGTCTGAATCATCTTTGGCTTCCGTGGGATTTTGCTTTCACTTTCTTCAGTCTCATGCACAGCTTCAAGTAAATTTTTAAAGTGTATGAATACAAAATAGTCATGTAGATGAAAAGGACGGTCACAAAGCTACTTAAAACCAGCTATCTTGCAGTAATTGTAATGTTTCAAAGCTTAATCTGGACAAATAAATAAAGCCCTTTGCCTTTCCACCAATCAAAGTGGATACTAGATACCCTTTTCTTGATCTCAGCTAGTACATCTGTATTATGTAATTAACTGTGGCCTGTCATCATCGTATTGTTATAAGGGAAGAATGGTTTTATATTTAATTTAAAACTGCCAACAAAGCAAATGTTAACAATCCACTCCTCTTCAGTCCGTAATTTTGGCTCTATGCGCAGTATGATTAAACAGGCCTATCTAGAATGAGCTAGCTGTATCTCTGTTCAGTATAGCTATAATCACACTGGTTAACTTTACACTTTATGGGTAACAGTTTTACCTCTGACATAGTTCCCCAGAATATTTTACCAAAAATATTGAACCACAGAATGCTTAGGTTGGACATTTATTACAGGAAAACAGTAATATCACAATATAGGACGAAGGTTTAAGTTTTGTAAACCTTTAAAATTACAATTCAGTTTTTCCTGCTACTTTCATATTATTGCCTAAGATAAATGCAAAATGAAGACCTCAAGCTTATATGAGCTTTATTAACAGCTATGTTCTTAAGTTTGCAGAAAGGTAATAAAAATATATAACTACAAAAAATGTATTTTGATTTCTAATTTACAAAACCATTTAACATTTGCCCTAGAAAAATCTTGTTCCATTTCAAGGTCATAAAATACATTCACTTTGTCCGTAGTTAACAAATAACTACCAAAAACCACCACCACCACCCTTGCAGCACATTGCAAAGTTCACAGATTCCCATGGCAACCGATGACAATCTGAAAAGGCTTTTCCTGAACTTGGAAGCTCAATTTCCTCCAATCCAATGCAGCTAGTCGGATAGGTGGTTATGGACTGAACAAAACAATTTAACAACTCCACCTCCTTTCCAAGGACACTCTTCGCTTCATAACTGTGCGGTGATAAAAGGCATGCTGGTTAAAGCAAAGAGAGTTAGCCCTGCACGTTCTTCTGTTCCCAACGATGCAACAGTGAAGAGCAGAGTAGAAGGCTGTTCCCCAGTCCATGACCTTCCACTCCTCAAACGGTTGAGAACATTGGTGAGGAAGAGGAATAAAAACGGCTGTGATAAAAGCCCTATTATGGCAAATGAACTGCTTTTTTTCTGATAACTGGATCCTGTTTGTATACAAGTACATTTAAAATATCTCTCATTGATGTTTGTTAGTGGATGTGATGATAGCGTCTCTCAGCTGGCTGTCCTAGGAGAGGAACTGAGGGTCGGGGTAACACCTACAAAGGGATATGCCCTGTTCATCATCTAGGAATGCTGGGGGCTGGGCATGCATCATGCTTGCAGCTGTCTCCCACTTCCTTTGGGATACTTACCCAATCCAGCAACACTTCTGATCAAAGGATTTCCTGGTACTTTGCCCCAAACTTCTCTCCTTGATAAGATACTACTTCTTGTAGAGTTACACTGAGCTAAACGCCTCTTTCTGTGTTGTAGAAAGCTGCTTCTTCACATTCTGTGTGATGAATGTCTTATGGTGATTGGTTAATCTTGGGCAAGTTTCATCTCTAGTTGAGAACACAGGGCACTGGACAGCAAGGGTACCAGATGACTAGCCAAGGAAGGTGTGGTGTGCCCTTCTGAATCTGTAGATCAGATCTCAACACTTTCTTCCTGGGGTCGGAATGGGGCTGAAAATGGAAGCTAAAACACATTGGGGTCAGGATGGGGCTGAAAATAGAAGCTAATACACGTTACACTTCTGGCCTTATTGGAGACCGAAGCCCTAGAAAGTAATGTGTTCTAGAAACTCCTTTGCTGCCACCTGCAGAATAATATTAGGGATATCTCTCACTCATCTGTACAAAACCCTCAACATATATCTACAATAGCTCTGTTCAGTATGTATTAACTCACCGCTTTCATCTTTAATGTGACTTGACAAAGGAGATTGAGGCTGGCGTGGTCAGATAACATGGCCAAAGTGCTCCCATCCTGGGTCAGGGCTGGGCTCCATAACTGGCTTTTCATGAACAGAGTGTAGTGGACAGCACACTGAGTTACATCCCAAGCTTGGTCAGGAAAGGTGCCCAGGTGCTTCTGCCTGCCTTTCTTAGACCCAGACACGTCCTGTGAGGAAGTACAGACTATGTGATATCTGGCTAGAACCCAGAAGGTCCCAGCCAACAGGAGCACAGTGGCTAGCTGGGGACTGAAGGGCCTTCTGTGACTCCAGAGCAGCCTTTTGGCACCAGCATATGCTCACTGGAACAGAGACAAGCTGTCCTGGTAGACCCTTATCCAAACTGCGGGTCTATGGACAGAATAAGTATGGAAACCACTGAGCTTTGAGATGGTTTGTTTCGAAGCAATAAATATCAGGATGAATTGTGGGTGTGAACACCATTCTAATGCCAACTCACGATGCCACTTTCATTTTGCCATCTTTAAGACAGGCATGGTGCAGAATACCTAGCCTATGCAATACGATTTGTAAATAGCTTTGGTTCCTTAGTAAAAGGTTTAATGGAGTGATGGAGGAATGAGAGTTGCTGGGTGCTAGGTAAAGAGATGAAACTAAAAGTGTCTGACTGGACGGTGGTGGCTAAGGCCTTCCTGGGGCTGGGGCTCATATGTGACATAGACATCAACTTTATGGCCCGCTTCCTCAATTATTCATCGAGGGTATATTGTGAGCCCACGAAGGGCCTGACACTGAAGAGATGGCAGTGAACAAGACTGCCATCCTGAAGGGAAAGCACAGGGTGCTAGAGAGTGAGAGGTCACCACACAGGGCTGGGAAGATTGAGGTAGGACAGCTAGATACTTCTTTGTTGTCTCTTATCATTTTAGTTAGCCTTGCATATTTGCGTGTGTGTGAAATAGATGGCCCAGGCATTCCTTCAATTTTTTAAAAATGTAAGGTTTGGTAGCTTTAGTCTTTAATAATAACTATCATTCATAAAAGGAGAATAAATTATAAATATTTTATATTTGGCAGAAATTGACAGAGGTTAAAACAATTACACCCAGCAGCAAACTCATATGTACTATTCATATATGCACACGTATAAAATGTGTCTTTGTTTTTTAGAGACACAATATATTTTCCTTTCGCTTTTCCTTTTCTGAAAGCTAAAGAAACAAACACCAAATTTCATATCATTGTAATGTTACCTTTGAAAAATGACATGTATAACGACAGCCAATTCTATTGTTTTCACATCCGTAGTTAAACCACATTAATGTGAAGGCATAAAACTTAACACTTGTGTATCCTAACCGGAAGTAGCGCCTTTGATCCAGGGAATGGAGTTACAGTTCTCATAGAAAGTCTTAATGTGATTCTTTGGATTTGGGCAAATGTGCATTCTCACCTAAAAAACTGATAGAATCCAGATTAGGAAACTAACTCATGGCTGATATCTACACACAGATCCTTTTTATACTCATCTTCTATCAGCTCCTTTCCATCAGATGTAAAGCTCTAATATCTACTGTGAGTAAAGCTGGGGGTAAGGGTAAGGAGCTTATTAAAATGTACCTCAGGCTTGGAATTTACCCTAATTTTACCAGTATCAGCTCTGATAACAGAGCACCCACAAAGTTGGCACCTGAGGCTACCACAACTCAGTGCCCCTCACCCAATTCACACGCACACACTCTAGCACACACAGGTAGATGCACACACCCAAGCACACACATGAGTACACCCACCACACTCAAGTACACACACATGTTAGCACACACACCCTTTTGAGCTCTTTATAAGTAGGGTTTTACCTATGGGAGCATTGTAGTTGCGAAGTTGAATGTGTGAGGGAAGATTTCTGCCACAGCTTCCTCCTGGTCTCTGAGTTCCTAAGGTAGGGTGGTCAAAGTCTGTCCATCACTGAAGGCTTCATAGAGGAAGCACCAGGCTGCTCTTCTTGGGAGCCTGCAGGAACCCAGTGGGAGGTAGGGCCCTGCCAAGGCTGTCCGAGGAACTGCAGGGCAGGTCCTGTGCCTTTGTGCTGCATGGAAAAACAAGAGAGTTGTGCATCATCCCCAAGTGTTGTTGGGTTTAGTTGGGTTAGGCTGCAGATTTTGGTTCATTTTTCCATATGTTCTCTTTAAGCAGGAGTTTTACCAACACTTCCTCCAACATTTTCCACAGAAATATGTTCCCCGACAATCCAAATCAATTATCTTTAGTACTTGTTGAAAGTCCCCTGTCTTGGAAATCTTTTTTTTTTCCTATGAAGTGTTGCACCAATGGATCCATCCCATAGCTTTTTAAACTATGTAAACAGATGATTTCTCCCATTAAGTTGAAAAAGTTGACCAAGTTCCCACCCAGAAAAAGTTAACCCAGAAATATTAAATTCTAAAGCTTCAGCACATGTAACACCAGAAATATTTTGTGGGCAATATTTTAGCCTTACCCAGCACTACGTCATTCTTTCTGCCTCCCCCTCTCCCCCAAGGACTGAGAGAGGAAGCAACAAGGAATCAGTCAACAAGTACCACTAATTCATCACACATTAAACACATAAACTTCAGTAAAAACAAACACACACACAAGGGTCCCTGTCACTCATTCCCACACTCCCCAATCTGGGCTGGCTACTAACTGCTAGGTGGTCACTTGTGGGGATAACAATGGCTTTCCCTCTGTGGGATGTCTCTGCATCCAATAAAAACAGTGGCTATAAGAGTCCTGCACTCTGTTTTCTCAGCAGTAAAATGTGGATTCTGCCCCCCTGGGATGTTACGGAGATAAAGCAGCATGTGAGAAAAGTAGCGAGCACAGTTCTTGGTCTATTGTAATTACTTACATTTTACTTTTAAATAATCAGGGAATACCTGTTTATAAACCGTTCTTCTGCTTAATCTAAACATCAGTCCCTACTGGCGGCAGCAGCAGCAGTCCCTTGTTTGGCACTTGGGTGAGAGGAAGCAGGGTGTCACCAAGTGCCTTAAAGAGACATGCCCAGGCCGGTGGGCTTTATCCCAGGGAGGGAGCCAGAAACTCTTTTTAGAGTCCACAAGTGAGTCTAACCTGAAATGAGAGCTGGGAACCACAGTCAGATAGCCGATCTTTAAAGATTCTGTTCATGGATTTATCCACATTCCAATTTAATCCAAACTCTGATAGCCGTGGTTTAAATGGCTACTCCACATTATGGTGCTGCCAGCCTCTCCTGAGGTGCAGGAGTGGGTGAGGAAGGAGAAGGCATGGGGCCAAAGAGAGCAGCCTCTACAGAATGGAGCAATCAGCCTCAAATTCTGGCTAGAATCAGAGCTGGAATTTGGCCATGAGAACCCATCAGAAAGTTCTGCAGATGACCAGCCTCCACATTCACCACAACTCTTTGAGCTGGTCCAAGTCGGCTACCTGGATGTGGACCCCAATAGCGGTCACAGATACCTTTTGTGACCTGGGGTGGGGGGCTGTGCCCTGGCACCACCCCAATAGTCAGTCCCCAGTGCCTTTCTCTGGGGTTCAGTAATTCCACAGGCCCCTTGTGGTGCTTTCAAATGACTTTGACAAGATAGAGGTGGCATCTCGAGAGTGTTCTGTCCTTGGCCCTCATTAGTAACACTCTTACTAATGAGGGCCAAATTTCATGAAGAAGAAAACTGTCTTTGGCCCATAAGTTACATATATTTAGGTGATGGTTTTCTTGGAGGAGTACACCATTTTACTAAGCCTCACTGCAGAAACTCTCAGGGTAGGCAAACCAGGTCTGAGAAATAATAATAAAGTTACTCAGACTCTGAAATATCCAGGAACTAAAAAAGTGTGTCTCTCAGATAATTTTGTTGTATTAATGTGAAACCATGGCAGTAGAACTTGAAATCTCAAGACTATCTTACCATAATCCAAAACCTCAATTCCAAAAGAGAAAGACCCTGTTAGCAGACATGGGCATTCATCAGCAAATGACAACAGTAAGACTTGTCTAAGTCTCAGCATAGTCTAAACACTTAGCATGTACACAATTATACCTTGAAACTTTGTTATACTTGAAAGGTCATGGGACAGGGGTCTTTTCTGATGGATGATCTGCTAACTTAGGCCTTATAAGAACACACATCTGAGCCAGGCATCCTTGGACTTACCCCATCCTCACAGGCGGCAAACCTCAGGAGTGAAGAGATACTGCTCTGCACCAGCTGCAATAACAGTGGAATGGGCCATAGTAAGTGCTTGTTCTAAAAACACTCATGTCCTAAAAATTAATGTGTTAAATTTAAACCATGTATCTTCTGTTTAGTAGCTTCAATCTCAAAGCCTTAAGTCAGACGTGACTTTTTAAATTACAGACATGAAAAGACTCTTCCTAAGGGTGAGTCCGTCTCCCTTTTCCCAAGGAAAGAGCAATAGATACAACTCTCTCTCAGCCAGTGAGTTCGAGTGTCTCCATGAGGATGCACATGAGATCCTGTACCAGCTCTACCTTGACCCTCACTGTGCGCTGGAGTCGAGAGAGATAGTCCAGGAAGACCTGCAGGTGCCTTCTGAGAAAAGGAGAGGTGACCAAATGAGAGCAGTCCTCACAGGAAAAGGTGCCTCTGTTGTTCAGAAACACACAAGGAAGACGAGACTTGAAAAGGCTTGGATTAAAAGTGTCTAGCAGTAGAGAGAAATTTTCCTAAATATGAATGATTTCTGGGAAAGAAGAGGGAGATTTACTTTCAGAAATCAAGTTCCTAAAATAGCCCAGGGAAGTCCTGGGCTCAGCCTGTTTGAGGGATAATCGTCAGCTTTCGCGGCTTCCAGCTAACAGCTTTGCGGGCAGGTAACCAAGAAAGGGCATTTAGACAGGGAAGCCTCATTCGAGCTGAGTTATAGTGGATGACAGCAAACATCCCATGAAGCAAAGTGAAGGCCTCTGCCAGGCAAGGGGAAGTCAGGGCTCCCAAACCTGCTTTAATCGTCAGTTTCTATGCACCTTCCTGCTACCAAGTCAACTTGTGATTCACATTCTTCTTGTCAATTAAATATGATCCTGTAATGACTTGTTTATACATAAGGCTGCCAAACCAGGAGGTATCAAGGAGACATTTGCCCTTTCTCCTTAAGAAGTAGAAAAGTAGTGAGTCCCTTTCTGTTATGTGACAAAATCAACTTGAGAGGTCAGAGAAATGACTCAGAGAACTGCATCTATACCCAGCCTAAGACCCCGTTCCCCTAGGGAGTGGGTGCAGTAACACTGGCAGGGAAGGGATGTCTGTTTATGTAGCTCTTCATTGGTCTCTGGAAAAATTTGAGCCCCTGAAAAGAACAAGCTGTACAGTTACCAAGTTTGTCTTATTTATTCATGTTTACTCTGAGTTTTTCTCTCTTCTCCTGACTAATAGTAAATGAGCTGAGGACAAAACCTGGCTCTTTTCTCTTTTAACATAGGAGGAGCTGCAAGGAGCAGCCAAAAGAAAAAAAAAGACACTGTGTACCATGGCCTCTTCCCTGCAGCTCAGCAGACTTGGTTTTCCACTTGGAGCATATGACTGCCTCCTGGCACAGGGGAAGCTGGCCTGAGGCAGTGGGGCAGTGGGGATCCTAGGACTAGGTTGCTGCTGCCCTAGGGTCTTTCAGGCTAGTCACTTACATGTCTTCTGGGCTCTATTCCAATCTCTCATTGCCACACAGGTCACACGTAGGCCATGAGAAAGCAGTGCTTTCATCCACACCAATCACAGTGCCTAGGCCCAAATGAAAGAAAAGCCAGAGTCTTAAAGGCAGTGTCTGCCCTCCTAACTTCTCTGTGCTCCTTAGGACATAGATGGCAACATGAAATGCCTCAGATTTTTTTCTCATTTATGAGTTTATATAAATGTTCCTAAGATTTTTGTAATTTCCATTTATTATACAAAAATTACAAAAAATAAAAAGTTTTAAAACTTGCTCACATTACTACCTAATCAAGTATTTTCATTTTCCCTTGATCTTTTCTAGTCTTTTTCCAGATGCACATGTATTGAAATCATTACGAGCAAACCATCAGTGCAATATCTCATTCTAGTTTTTAGGTTGCTGTATAGTTATCGCAAGAGTTGTTTTATCTATCTTACTGATATTCCATTTAGGGGAATGGACATTTAAGTCTCCAATGCTTTTAGTGGTGAGGCAATGGATATCTTTCTACATGAGGCCTTTTCTGTACAGAGATTAGGAAAAGAGTATGAGTATTAAAGACATAGAAACACCCTTTTAGAAGGTGTTTTCCCACAAGATTTTTCTGATTCACACTGTCGCCATCCATTCACAGAGTGCCAGTTTCACTGTGCTGCATGCTGACTTCACTTTAAATATTTTCCTCCTTAATAGGTATAATGGAATTCCTTATCTTGGTTTCTACTTCTTGATAAGGAAAGAGAAATATTGCTTTGTTAATATCTCTTCTTATATGATTTCTCTGGTTTCCTTATTTATTTTTTACTCCAACATTTGTTTACTCAACAGACAGATATGTATACAATGCTATTTATGTGTAGCACTAGAAACATAAAGATGAATCCTACAATCCCTACTCTCATGGACATTACTATCTGATTGGGGAAGCAGATAAATAAATAATGAGTAAAAAAATGAATTAGGGGAGGAAATATTTGCAAAACACATATCTGATCAAGGACATATCTGTTATCCAAAATATACAAAAAAACTCTTAAAACTCAACAATAAGAACACAAACAACCTGATTAAGATATGGGCCAAAGACCTTAACAGACACCTCACCAAAGAAGATATACTGGTGGCAAATAAGCATATGGAAAGATGTCCAACATCATATATCCTCAGAGAAATACAACATCATATATCCTCAGGGGATTACAAAATACAAATTAAAACAACAATTAGATACCACTAAATACCTATTAGAATGGCCAAAATCCAGTCACTAACAACACCAAATGCTGGTGAGGATGTAAAGCAACAGAAACTCTTACTGAATACTAGTGGAAATGCAAAATGGTACTGCTACTTTGGAAGGTAGTTTGGTGGTTTCTTAGAAAACTAAACATAGTCTTATCATATGATCTAGCAGTCACACTCCTTGGTATTTACTCAAAATGAGTTGAAAACTTAGGTCTACACAAACACCTGTACGCAGATGTTTACAGCAGCTTTATTCATAATTGGCAAAACTTGGAAGCAACCAAGCTGTCCTTCAGTAGGTGAATGGATAAATAAACTGTGGTACATCCAGACAATGGAATATCATTCAGCACTAGATATGAGCTATCAAGCCATAAAAAGACATGGAGGAAACTTAAATGCATATTACATAGTTAAAGAAGCCAGTTTGAAAAAGCTATGATTCCCACTATATCACATTCTGGAAAAAGCGAGCTATACAAACAGTAAAAAGATCAGTGGTTGCCAAGTGTTAAGGAGAGAGAGATGAACGGGTGGAATACAGAGAATCTTTAGGTCAGTATGACTATAATGATAGATACATTTGTCTAAACCCAGAGAAAGTACAATACCAACAGTGAACCTTAATGTAAACCATGGACTTTGGGCAATTATGATGTGTCAGTGTAGGTTTATCTATTGTAACAAATGCACCACTCTGGCGGGTGATGTTGGTAATGGGGGAGGCTATGCATGTGTGGGCACAGGGCATGTATGGGAAATCTCTGTACCTTCTGCTCGATTTTGCTGCAAACCTAAAACTACTCCGAAAATAGTCCATTAAAAATTAACATAAATGCTAAGTTGAGAAGTGGAAAATATCCCTCAGAGATGTAGAAGAGAGGCCTTCTAGCCTAGCTTGAGGGTCAGGGACCTGCGGTGAGGCTGCAGGTGGAGAAGGGAGTACAGGCAGTCCCTGTACCCTGTGGTGGGGCTGGAGGCCAAGCAAGCATAAAGGAAAGGCAGGTGAAATGGCTGTGCAGTTGGCAGACTATGATTATGCAGGGTGCTACTAGGGAGTTTTGTACTGATCTTGGAAGGAATGAGAAGCCATGAGGAATTTTAAAGAGAGGATTAAGATGGTCTAATTTTCTTAGAATGTGAAGCATTATAGAATCATCTAGATACACTCTCAAATCACAGACCATCTTTTTTGAAAAGTGATCTAATTAAGCATTTGAAAAAAATGTGACCTAAATTTCCAGAAAAATAGAAGAGTCATCTCTCCCACTCTTGGCAGTGAGGAAGAATTTCATTACCCATTCAAATAAGCATTAGAAAAACATTTATCTGTAGAGCATAAAACAAAATTATAAGAACTAAGTAAGTATGATTTATTAAAATGCATTCGTGTAATTCATACTTGAATGACATTTTAAAAATGAAAATAATAGATCTCAATTGTGAAAAGGCTGCCCCAGTTAATTTCATTGTCCTTGCAAATCTAATCAAGATCAAGTCAAAGGGATGAAAAATAAAGTCAATAAAGGCTTATAATATAGCCAGAAAGGAGTGTTGGCTAATTTGTAACAGGCAGAGGCATAAGTAAGGCTAAGGGGGACAAAGGAGTGGTTCCCATTCCATGGGCATGCATGCCCACCAACACAAAGGCCAGCTCACAGCACTACTTGGTAAGTGTCTGCTAAATGAATTAATAAAAAGAAGATTGCAACTAACCAAAGTTCCTTTTTGCCCTAGGATATCTTTGGCTGTTAATAGCATTTACATTTATATGGGATTAAGCAATTTCCATCCAACTAGGGCATGAGTTGAGGAAATGTATTTCATCTGGGATCCACGTACCATTGGAAATCCCTTCTGGCAACCCTAAATGAATTCCAAGGGTTGACTGGGAAATGTACTATTAAACTGTTAGACTCTAGAACATTCACTTAAATGAGCATCAGAAGTTAAAAAAACAATTTTTGTTAGAGTTTGATGAGTGTGACGCCACTGCTTGCTGCAATTTGCTATTAAAAGCCTTTACTTGTCTTATATACAGAAATCTCTTATAATTAGGTTTGAGAATGGTATATCACATATTTACTAAATCAGCTATTTAAAAAGTTTCTTTCAAAGGGTGCTTCAGCCATTCCTTCCTTTCCAGCAGAGGAACAGAGCAGCTACATGCTCTGGTCAGTCTCGGGGTTTCTGGCACTGCAAGCCTGATTTACAATTTTCTTCACTGACTTTTAACTCTCTGCCACACCCTCCTCCCCACCCTGTTGCTTACTGAAAGAAGATGGGGCTCAAAAATTTTTACTTCTAGTTAGAGACTGAAACCTGATTCGAAGACAGGACTTTGCCACCACTCTCCAAGGAGTGTGCTTGCTGCATCCATTCCCATGGTGGCAAGCAAGACCACCATCCACTAGCAAGCTATGTATAAAGAAGTGAGCAATGCAAGGCAGACAAAATCAATGCTGCAAAACTTTTTCATCCCGGAAAATAAACTGGAAAGGAGCCCCTGCACATTCTGGAAGCTGATGTCTGTGGAGTGAGAATAAGGCCTGGTGACTCAAGTGAAGTGAAATGGAGTGACCGCCATCCCTTCATGGAGGCTCCATTTCCCAGGAGTGCTTAAAGCCTTCTACCGGGGCAAATGCACAGATGTTGTTAGGTCTCAGTGAATGACTGACTCACAGTGTCGTATTATGAATCTGTTCAAGCTCTGCTTGGGGAAAATGCTCGATGTTCTGCAAGGTCCAGACCACTGTTGGAGACCCTGATGCTCAGGTGATTTAGCTGCTGCTGAGAGCTGCCCAATTCCAAGCACTGATTTCCTGCAGATGGTGATAGCACCTGCTTGGTGCTATACTTGGGACAAGCCATCACTAGTCTTTCTGGGACAGGGATGGGCAAAGCAGGGCAAGGCTGAGGGGCTGAGAGGGGGTGTTTGTTGTTGTTATTTCACAGAGTAGAGAGGACTCTAGCCTCATGTTGAATTAATGGGGTCAGATTTGATGGAGGGAAGCCCACAGGTGGCTGGAGAGCAGGATAGGGAGCCTCTGTCTGTCTGTTCATCAGCGGGAACTGGTCACCACCCCAGCCTCTTTCATGGTGGTGCTGCATGTGAGACTGGGCCAAACTTTGCTATTTTATAGTTTGAGCTTTGTTTTCTCTTAATCTCTAGTTAAATGATTCTTATCAGAGCATCTCACAGGACTGTGATAGCAATCTGTTTACATACCCACCTGACCCACCCACAGGCTTATAGACAGCTTCAGAGAGAGATCTATAGGGAACTCTATGTTAAAATGGTGATGTGTGAAGGAAAATAATATAGGTCAGAAACTGGATCTACACAAAGTAAAGGAAGAGAATTAGAGAAGGAATAAATGAAGGTAAAACAAAATCTTTTACATTTGTTATTCTAAATTGAACTAAAAGATAATAGTTTGTTTAAATAATAATAACAAGTATTCAGTGATTATACCTTATGGGTAAGTGAAATGAATGACAGCAATGTTATGAGGGATGGAAAAGAGGAATTGAGAATAAAAAGTGTATACTGTAAATTCTAGGGCAACTATTAAAAAAAATTTTAAAGATGTATAATTGGTATACTGAGAAAGAAGAGAAATTGGATAATATAAAATGCTCAATTAAAATAAGAAAAGACAGAAAGACACTGAAAGTAAAAAATGAGCAATGAATAGAAAACAATTATACATATGATAGATATTAATCCAAAGTATATATTTACTTTAAATGTAAATGATCTAAATACATAAATTAAAAGAGATGATCAGAATGAATAAAAAAAGCCAACTCTATGTTGTCT